GGCTCACACCTGCTGAGCTTCAGTCGGCTGCCAGTTGTGAGTTGCAGGGCGATATGGCTGCTGGCTGCTTATACAGTATATAAGAAAATATACTTGGGACATATCAGCTACAGCACATAAGAAAAATAACAACACCAACAAAATAGAAAAACAACAAGGCCGAGTCAAAACGCGTTTGCCAACCGACCCCATGCAGGACGTCAGTACTTACAGCGTCACTGAGAGACTCGGGAAGGGGCGTCCACGAGGAGTTAAACACCAGGCAGTAGGCCTTCTGGGCGCCTGCAGCGCCGCCGCCGGACACGCGGAGCACTGCCACCTGGCAGCTCACCTGGAGTGCGACAGGGAACAGCCATCTCAAATCTCAGGCCCCCGACTTCGCCAGCAGCACCGCTCTGTCCCCCGCCTATCACGGCTTTGGTCAAGGCACCCAGACGTACTGTCACAAGCAGGAAGCTCGCTTACTGGCGAAAAACACGAAAAGCTCGGTACTTCGATACTTCGTAAACTATTTCTGTGACTTATTTTGTTAACTAAAAACTCATTACCGCAACATCTAGACATTTGGGTATTTATAATCAGATGTTGTTGTTTTTTTTTTGGGGGGGGGGCTGAAGTTGAAGCTACCAATAACCCTGAAGGGACTTCAGTCGCGTCGGAGAACTTCAAATCGAAACAAGACAGAAACGACTTTACTGCACCTGCACACTGCAGCACCACACGCAGAGAATCACCGCGGTCCGTATTCTCCACATGGCTCAACATCCGGGGAGACTCCGTCTGCGTCTACTGCCGTGAAGTGTCTGAGGTGCCTGATGTTTTTCTCTCAGAAAATCTCTATTTCAGGAATCATCCAGTGTGTGTGAGAGAGAATGTTTCCAAGCGGAGGGTAGAAGAAAAAAAAAGTTTCACTTCCTGTTCCGTCCGGCAATCCCCCTGATCTGCGGCGCGAGTCATCGCGTCACGTGGCAGGTCTCTCCCTCGCCAGCCAAGTCCGCCTGTGAAGATTTAAAACTTCGTCGTCTGTAGCTCTAACAGCCCGGCTGTTCGGGTAGCGTTATTGTGGGCGTCCTGTCAAAGTGACAGCAGTAAATCAGCTATGTGATCTAGGTCGCAAAGCGAGCGTTTTTGTTTATAAAGCTACTGGTTCTTTCGCAGAAAATAATGTACAGAGAAAACTGGCTGAGTGCACCTCTTTCTTAACCAAAACGTTAACTTAAAAGCATAATTATCTGCTATAATCCATACAAGAAATGATTTATACTTGGTATACATACAGTAGTATATAGTAAATGCTATAAACGATGCTCATTCAGAGCAGCTGTGTTTGTCATCTATAAGATTTCCGGCGAGAGTGGCCCCAGTCAGCAGACTGTTGATTGGTTGTACTCGTCTCAGGGTGAAATGTTCGTGATGTTCTGAGGACAGACGGGTTTTGGGAGTGGGTTCAATTCTCGACGGCAGTGGTGCCCATGCCTGATCCTGGGGGTACACTGTCACGCCCGGCTTTTGCTCTGGCTGAGTTCTTATTCTCAGGCATTTTAAATGTGCTATCAGCTCTTTCAGCTGTGACTAGGATTTGTACTTGGTATCAACCCTATACCTATTCATGAGTTTCAGAACTGGCCTTACTCAGATCTGCTCCCAGGAGTGTAACCAAATTTACTTCTGTAGGAGGGGGAAAACGCTCACTGTGGGAGAGTTTTATACAGTGCCGTTCCTACATGTGTTTAGGACAGACTGAATAAACAGGTTTAGCTCAGCTGGAAGGGGAACCAATGTTCTAGAGCTCAGCATTGGTATTTTCCACAGCTCCCCAGTCACACACAGGGAAGAAAGCGGAAGTATCAACAGACACCTGTGCTCCACCCACCTTCCAAGCAGTCTTCTTTTAACAGATCACAGGAAGCACAGCCCCTTACCGGACGGGGCTGAATGGATGAGAGGTGTGTCCCCCACTGATAACCTGCAACGGCCCACGAGGCCGGATGAGGCTGGATGATGCTCACCACACATCAGCTATCAGTGGGGAGGAGAGCAGAGCAATGTAGCCAATTCATAGAGGGGGATTATTAGGAGGCCATGATTGGTAAGGGTAAGGGCCAATTGGAAATTTTGGCCAGGACACCGGGGTTACACCCCTACTCTTTTCAAGAAGCGCCCTGGGATTTTTAATGACCACAGAGAGTCAAAACCTCGGTTTTACGTCTCATCCGATAGTATAGTGTCCCCATCACTTGTGCATTAGGACCCACATAGACCGCAGGGTGAGCGCCCCCTGCTGGCCCCACTAACACCTCTTCCAGCAGCAACCTTAGTTTTTCTCAGGAGGTCTCCCATCCAGATACTGACCAGGCTCACACCTGCTGAGCTTCAATGGGTTACCAGTTGTGAGTTGCAGGGTGATATGGCTGCTGGTACAATGAATGGTACAATGAATTAGATGAATTCCTAATGTTATAAATTGTATACGGCTAATGAAGTGTTCTTATCTTAACAAACCCAACATCCACTACCACCATGGGTTCCTTCATATCCTAAATATTCCAGTAAGTAATCCCCTGTGAGCCTTTTAAACCTTTCAATAATTATGATAATAATCTAATTAACTAAGTACTGCTGTCGCCCTCTAGTGGTAGGTCAGCAGTGAAACTGTTCCAAAGGCAGGAATACACAGATTTTTAAAGCTCAGTTTAAAACTTATCTCTCTGGTCTTTTAATGTCCATAAAGACTTGTATTGTAAAAAAAATAAATTCAGAAAGTGTAGCTCAAGAAAAGAACCACATGCATTTCTGAAAAGAAACACAATGTAACAATGTATAAACTTTAGATCATTAAGACAACTCCGCACTTTGTAGTGCAAAATGTTTCTATCTTCATGGATCAAATCTTTGATCTGCATTGTTTTATCTGAAGTTAAAAAATAAAAGACAGCTCATCATAAAACGTCAGGACACATGTTCCAAATGTCATTCGATTTTATTAAAGTAAACCATGACAACAATGCATATTCAATTTAAACAGAATACAGAAATGCAATAAAAAATACAGTGGTTGAACATTTGTGCAGTATTGCAATATAACAGTGCATTCTGCAAATTTCAGGTTTTTAACAAACTCAAGTATAGTTCAGACTGGCAATCTGGTCCTCAGATATGTGATGCTTTGCAAAAAAATTATTCAAATACCAGGTCTGTGTTATTTTATGATGAAGTGTCACTTGAAATAGACAACTGATCTTACGATTTTAAAAAGTGTAGCTTTGTCTCAAGTCATGGGAGTGGCCAGCCACATTGTGTCAAATGCAGAATAAAAACTCAGCAAATAAATAGACAGTCCTGAATTTTAAAATGCTTTCTATGCAAGAGAAACAACAGATTACAATACACTCATCAGACATCCGGCTCATTCTTCACCTACTTGTTTCCTCATACTATGAGCAGTGTTCCACATATTCTCCATGTCATTTTTAGTGAGATTATTTACAACTTAATTAACCAATATTTACAGGAGGTTTATCAGTCTGTTCATTTAATTCTTTTGCATTTTCTTTTTTTTCCAGGATCAGCAAGGAAATGAGTATAGGAGACAGATGCCTCTTCGCTGTCGTACCTGAAGCGCAGTGTTGATCCCATCTCTGTAGGAACATTGAACAAGCAAAATCCCATCAGTTACACTGTTAATGATGACATGTCAAGGGATGGTAATTTAGTCTAAAGGAAACGGCACACAGGGTGCATGTACTGTACAGTCTTCTAGTCACCTCTGAAAAATATCTGTAGGACAACGCATTCAGTTTCCTGAACCTACAGCATGCACAAACGGGATCATGGGCATGCGAGCGAAATCTGGACAGCGACTGGCACTTAATTGAACAAACCTTGTGCGGGAAATGAAACACTTAACCACTGTGCAGTAAAAAAGACAAAGTATTTTCCTATCAAATGAGTACACTCATTAGTTTTATCTATAAGATGTTGTAGGTTTAGCTTTAGTTTGTATAACAGATAGCAGATTGAAAATAATCAGTATTAAGTGAATAAAAAACAACCAAAGCTACTAAACGCATCTGTTTAAATGTCAGTTTGCGATGTAAGAACAGGGTTTGTGGAGTCCTGAGTGCTAAGTTTTGATCTAGACAGACACAATAATGTAATACTAAAAACACTGGAGCGATCTGGTCCTCAGAATGGACTATTTCTGTGACCCCTGCTCTTCCCCTCTGGCTCCCCTTTTCCTTCCTTTCACCCCCCATAAAAGGACTGATAGACCCCTGCTCTCCCTCTGTCTCCCGGGGATTATTCAGGAGCAGAAACTGTCTCTCCTCTCCTCCATGCCTTCTCTACCTCCGCCAACAGCTCGTCGACTGTAATAAAAAGGACAATAAACCTTCTCTATGAGCCAGAACCACAGCCTCTTAGTTTCCCTTCTTCCACTGCCTGCCTCAGACACGATCAACATCACAATATCATAGCAATAGAGGGCACTGTTGTCCTGTGTGTCTCCAAAGCAGAAACCTTTTGGGGTACTATGTTCAATTTGTAGGTACCACGGTGGTGCAGTGATTAGCATTGCTAACTCCAGGAGCCCTGGTATCAGTTCCTGGGGTGCTGTCTGTGTGGAGTTTGTATGTTCTCCGCGTGTTCACATGGGTTGCCTGTGCGTGTCTGTCTCTTTCTGTCTGCCCTGTGATGGACTGGTGTCCTGTCCAGAGTGTATCCTGCCTTGTGCCTGAGGCTTGTCAGACTCTGGCTCCACTGCTACCCTCTACCCTCTTACATAAACTATACAGCAACATTCTAAACACCTGACAATTGTACTGAATCAATGCTCGATTTTTAGAACAATAAAGCTTGGATAAATTCAAATGCTAACCACCCACTGGTCTCAAATATTAAACCCAGGGCCTGATGTTTGCTTTCTTTCTGGTGGTTGAAAGCAGCCCTTGGAAAATACAAGGCTGCATGTACAGTAAGTGAGGCGTTTCAGGAGACTGCAACTGGGATCAAAGTTTTCATTCTGTCCGAGCAGAAGAAACCACAGAAATAATTAAATTCCTTTACACAGCTTCATGCTGGTCTGCTAATTAAAACAGACTACATTATAAACCCCACTTATACAAGCAGGCTGTCACAGTATATATATATATCATTAATTTTATATTTACTAACAATTACAAACTAATTGATTAATTCACCTTACTGTTGTATTCCTCTAATTAGAAGCTGGAAGAAACTTTAAAGGAACACAAGTGAAAGGCTGAACAAGCTTACCGTTGGTGTGTCCCTTCAGAATCATGCGATTAAAACGTTACTACTGAACGCTGTCTGATACTCCATTTCCATAGCCGCCTTTAGACTTCATCTGTTCCTGAATAGAGTCCACCTTCAAACACAGGGCAAGCGAGGCATTTCCATGACAGTAACACAGGAGATAGTGCAAATTCTTTTTTAAAAGATCAGCCATATTTAAACTCTACCAAAAGAAACTGCAGTTGCCATCTTCATTTATTCTCACTCAAACTGTTTGCTTGGATGCTCTCCCCCTACAATATTAAATATTATTATGTGCCATGTATACTGACAAAAAATGCTAATAAAGTAATGTGCTAACTGACAATTCTCATTGTCTAATTACTCCTCAGGTAGGCACCTTTATAAAGTGTATGCATAATTACTCACCCCAATTGGTGGTCTAAAATTTCTGCAATTCTGTTGGCTAAAACATCATTAATAAGTGCTAAACAAACCTTAAAGGCCAAGTACAGAGAACAGGAATTAAAATCAGAAGCTGCTAACCCTTAGTTCGTCTTAGTGACTCAAAGTGATCAAAATGACTTACTGACGAGTGACCTAAATTCATATCCCCTGATCCCACATGCGTGGTGTGAACAAAGTTCATCGGTTCTCCAATCATGGAGCGGTCTATTCGCCTTCGCCTCTTCTGTAAGAACGACAAGTGACAGTTGTTACAAGCAAGGAATGGGGACGATACCACAAGAAGCGGAGAATATCTTAAAAAACATTTAGAAAAAGCAAAAAATGACTAATGCATTTGGAGGGTTGAAGTAAAATAAGCAATTGAACATTACAGGAAGTTACAAATGACAAACTGCCATTCAAAGCAACGTGCTCGGTCAACTGTCAGTAAAATAACAATAAAATAACCTAAAATCCTTTCTGAGGGGAGGATTCCAAGCTGTCTGTATAAAATATGACTGTAAGCACACAAAGCCTGGCAGCAATATTACTTTAAACAGTATTTTTCAACTGAGATCATACACCACTTGTACATTTATATACTACAGTATAACTTAAACTAGCAAAGAATACTGTTTTATCACTACACTTAATACACAGACACAAATGTGTCTACACAAACTATTATAAATATATATTTAAATATGAACAAGTAAAAAATAGCTTCAAACAGGCTTGGATACTGTATGCTTAGATATTCCCCTCCAACAGAATTATATATTGAAAAAAAATCAATAAATATTGACCTTTTGTAGCTTCGGATATTAGAATTCCAATTAAATCAAAATGTCCCGTTCAATAATTCAGAAACAAGGAAGGACTGAAATGTGCTAAGCGCAGCGTATTGTAAGAACTGGCATGAAAAACAAGCAGGCTTATGTAATCAGTAGTAGTATTTAGCGTAGACAATGCGCCCACACCACAGCAGAAAAAGACTTTCACAGTTTTAACAAGCTGAAAATGTCAGAGCATCCTCTCCCTGTTATTTTCAAGACCTTTAAAACCCCTCCTAGTGAAGCATGGAATATATGGTTATGCATGGCAATATTTTAATTAATAAATGCAACACTTAAAAATAAATTATTTTCTACTGTCAGAAATATAAATACATCTCTAATCTCCCGCAAAACAGTCAATAAGGTCCGCGATGGACCATCCATCACGAATTTATAAACAAGCTTTTGAACTGTTAATGCATTTTTGCACACACACGCATGTACTCACAGGCTGTGGCTGTTCTGCAATGCAGCAGCTGAAACAAACCCAGAACTCAGTCATGCTGAATCTGCAGCGTCTGGTGAAGTAGAAACTTCCTTGCGGTGGAAAATAGTCACTTGTTTTCCTGTTCGTCTCTCCAGCGATGTGGCCACCAACATATGCCGGAAGCTTTTCACATGCAGGAGACTGAAAAAAAAAAACTCCTGTTTTCTCCTCTCTCAGATGCCCCCTTTTTTATGTGACAATATCCAAAGGGTTTTGCCACTGGAAGGCTAATGAACGGCTCCCTGCAAACCTGCAACATGAAATGAATACAGAGCTTGAGTGAGTACAGCTCGTCAGGGAACAGAGCAGTGTGTGAGGCCTTTTCTCATTTCATTTCACACTTCCTGCTGTTCAAAAAGCCAGAACACACAGTTATGAAATTCCCCACCTCGGTTTACAAATCTGTTGTCTGCTAATAAACACGTCGGATTACATCTTCAGATATCAGTCCTTCACTGGGAAAGGCTGCAGGAGGTGTTCGCAGGATAAGAAGATGTGAAGCATCTTCTCTGCCCAGGCCTTCATTAATCATTCTTCCGCAGAGCAGAGAGAAACTGCAGAGCTGTCAGAGACAGTTCTAATGAATTCTGCATGGCTGGGAAAAGAAACAGGCTCTAGCCCCTTCTATACTCACCTTTTAAAAGAACAACAGGACCATTATAAAACCGAGATCAGCTGATATCAAGCACATTACACTCCCCTTGATAGTCATGCAGCTGATTAAACAATTCCTGTTTCTGACTGATAATGATACAAGTTCAACATCTTCCAAATCTCAGAGTGGAAAAAACTGCTGTAATTAAAGTACAAGAACGTGCAGTATCTGTAGGCTTTGTGCAGTCAGTTCCTGACTGTAAGTACTGAAAAGCTACTCTCCTGTTCACATCAATGTCCAGAAAATGTCTCACACTGCAGTAGAGAATGTGACCGAACAGAGAAGGTGAATAATTCACTCCTTTTATGCCAGAACCACAACGTCAGAGCATCACATCTCTACTCCTTAGGTTGAACATAATGTGTAACTAAACATGTGGCTTGAATTTTCAATTAGGAAAGATACTGAATATCAAACATAGGTTTCATATCTATAATGAAAACCCACATTTACAAAAAATTCTGTGTAAAACAAAATGCATAATTGTAGCATTACATTACTGATCAGTGTCTTACAGTGGAAAGAAGCAAATAACGTGTATACAGCAGTTAAAATTAAAAGACACAGGAAGTGGAAAAATGTCGGGTAGTATCAAGTCTGACGCCTAACCACAGAACATTTCAGAGCAGAACTCAACAAAGGCTTTTATAGAACAAAGCTTTACGTGTTAAGTATAATTGGAAAAGAACAGTTAGCCCTCATCTTTGTGACAAATCCTGTCAGCTTTATTGTCTCAGTAACTATTTTCCCATATTGATTATTGTGTTAGGCCTTGACTTACACATCACTTAAGTGAACTGGGAACATTAAAACTTGAAGCACAAACACTTCTGTATGGAGCTGTTTCACATAGCCACTCAGGAAAGTCACAGTTGGAAAACATCCTCCTCGATCAAATCAATTTTTGTTTTTATAATGAACAACATCTGAAGGCGCTTTAATGTAGAGGTAAGCTACATATCCCTGCTAGCTAAAAGAACTGAATCAATTTAGTACTGACGAAAGAAGACTATGAGGGTGTACTCACAATCCTCTAGAGCACTGACAAAGGTAACCCAGTGGTCTGACAATCAACAGAGGACACAGGTGCACACTAAAAATGAAGTGCTTTTAAAACCGAAAGCAGGAGGCACTTGGTTTTACACAGAGGGAGGTGGGGGACTGGAACAAGCTATCTGGCAATGTTGCTAAAGCCTCATTTCTCTCAAGATACAGCTGATGAGGTTCAGATCAATCAGCTCCCAGAAACCAAACAAGATGGATTGTCTTGTGCCCCCTCACAAACGCTTTGCACTTCTTTTCAAAGCAGAAAATATGATTAAGTAATCAACAAGATTGCAAAGCCGACAAACCACTACAAGACAAGACTCAACTAAAAGATGTCCAAAATCAATCCATTTGCTAGAAGCTGTGCACTTAGAATCAGGTGCAAAATTCTAAGCAGTGTCTTCCCATGATTCATTGATAGTTTCCCCTGCAAGACTGCTATCTGTGTGGAGTCTGTATGTTTTCCCCATATTCAGCTTTCTCTGTGTGCTCCAGTTTCCCCCCACAGTCCAATGGCATACTGGTAGGTTAACTGCCTTCTGGGAATGGTGGCCCTGGTGTGAGTGTGTGGATATCTGTGAATGCCCTGTGATAGACCGGTGTCCCATCCAGGCTGTATCCTGCCATCCACTTGCTGCTCCCCAGGATAGGCTCCGACTTCCCCACAACCCGGAACTGGAAGAAGTGGTTACAAAATGGATGGATGGATTTTGAATGTTGTCCTAGAGGACAACAGAAGTTTTTTTTTTGCAAAGCCACTAAGCACACTGGTTATCTGCTGTCTCCCTCTCATGTACGTTAAAGGAACAGAAAACGTGCAAAAGGCAGGCGGAGAACATGCTGAACTGCTAGGATTAAAAAACAAAAGCAAACATTGTGTCCGTAATAAGACATATAAGACTATGGCCTTTGTTTAGACCAGAGAGGTCATCTTCTAAACTGACGGTGGTCAACTAACACAGTTAAACTTGATTCTACTGTATATGCCACATCGAAGACATCACC